GATCTACTTTCATTGGACAAAGCCTTCTTGCTCTGACTCTTGCTTATAATTTTCTAGGGCTTTCTCCCTGTCTCATGTAAATAGATTTCAGGAGGTCCATCCTACCAGTCTTCAAACTGGAATTCCTCAGTCATAGAATCAGACAGAATTCACTAAATAACACGTGCATGAGTGCTGTTATAGGTATTTAGAGATCTTGTGAAGATTTGTGTGGACTAAACTGCAGAATGAAGAAGCTCCTGGTGTACATTTCAGTGTGACTTCCCGTTGTTCAATACTTCAGTTCAGTTCAGTTCAGTTCAGCCACTCAGTCGTGTCTGACTCTTTGCAACCCCATGGACCGCAGCATGCCAGGCTTCCCTGTCCATTACCAACTTCCGGAGCTTGCTCAAGCTCATGTCGATTGAGTCAATGATGCCATCCAAACATCTCGTCCTCAGTCATCCCCTTCTCTTCCTGCCTTCAGTCTTGCCCAGCATCAAGGTTTTCTTCAGTGAGTCAGTTCTTCTCATCAAGTGGCCAAAGTATTGGAGTTTCAGCTTCAGCATGGGTCCTTCCAATGAATATTCAGGACTGATTTCCTTTAGGATTGACTGGTTGGATCTCCTTGAAGTCAAAGGGACTCTCAAGAGTCTTCTCCAACACCACAGTTCAAAAGTATCAATTCTTCGGCACTCAGCTTTCTTTATAGTCCAACTCTCACATCCATATATGACTATCAGAAAGACTATAGTTTTGACTAGACAGACCTTTGTCGGCAAAGTAATGTCTCTGCTTTTTAATATGCTGTCCAGATTGGTCACAGCTTTTCTTCAAAGGAGAAAATGTCTCTTAATTTTATGGCTGTAGCCACCATCTGCAGTGATTTTGGAGCCCAAGAAAATAAAGTCTGTCACTGTTTTCATTGTTTCCCCATCTATTTGCCATGAAGTGATGGGACCAGATGCAATGATCTTGGTTTTTTGAATAGTGAGTTTTAAGCCGGCTTTTTCACTCTCCTCTTTCACT